ACTCATCCACATGGCTGACACTGACAAAGGTTCTACAATCTGAGGTACAGGATCTCAGGATAAATCCTGAGGGGATTTTACTGACCTTCTCAGACCCAAAAGCTATAACTTTTGTTGCATAGGTCCTGCTTTACCTTGGTCTTAACCATCCAGCAGAAAAGTATAAAAACGGAATATAAGAAGTAAAGCCTGTGGTGTTGTGTTGAGCTATACGGGACTCAGGTCAACAATTTCTGACATTGCCAGTGAAGCAGAAGACCCAATACTATTATGGGATAATGGACTCTTTTAGAATATTTTACTGTGTTTACATACCTATAATATTCAAATAATGCAACTTAACAAAAAAAGGGTATACAGATGAATGTCCATTTTATATCTATGTATTCAAAGTGGTTAGGATAGATATATAGTTACATTCTCTTAATGAATAGAGGGATTTGTTCTGATGGTGTTTGTAAATAGGATATCATGTCCACATCTTGTACAGCAATTAACTACTAGGAAGAATGTATGCAATGTGTGAATTATTGAAACTGTCCTATGAATTTGATTTGAAACTGTCTCATTACTATTTGTTTATCAATAAAATTATGGGAAAAAAAGAAATAAAAATGCACAGAAATTTAGCAATGAGCATTTTGTGGGTAAAACTCATTTGTTGCTGCTTGGAATTTCTGCGCACACCTTGCAGTTCACCTGCCAAGTGGAATGTGCAGAAGGAGTTTCGCTTTTCCCAAGCATGCCAACATTCTGTTATGAAAAATTACATTTTTACACAACAGAAGTGTGGGTTATTAACCTCCTATGACACCCAAGTGCACATAACCTGTCAGACGTAGAATTATACGAGTAATAATCCTGGTTTGACAAATTTGCACACATGCACACATCTTGCCATTTGTCATACCAAGTGGCTAAACACAAAGCCAGAATTTCTAAAATTTGTTTGTTTAGTTTTGAGACAAGGTCTTGCTACATAGTGCAGGCCAGCCTTAAACTGACTTCTACAGCCAAGATTGGCCTCAAACTCATGGTGATCCTCTTGCCTCGGTCTCTCAAGTTCTGGAATGACAGGCATATGCCACCATACCTATCCCTGCCAGCCAACATGTAACCAATGTTCTGACTTCCATGTTTAACTTTGCCAGTTCTTAAACTTCATGTGAATAGAATCCTGCAATATATTTTCTGTGTAATGACTTCTGTCACATCAGCACTTTAGTCTTTTTGTTAGCATTGCTGAGCCATTTCATAGCTGTATATTTAACATTATAAAAATTGTCAAATCATTTTTCAAGGTAGTGGAAACAATTTACATTTCCACCAGCAATGTCATCTTCACCAGCACTGGGAGTTACCAGTTTTTAATTTTAGCCATTCTGGGAGGAATGTAGTGTTACACCATTGGGGTTTGAGTTTGTCCCTGATAGTTAAAGTTTTTGGGGCTAGGCTGGTCAAATAGCTCAGTGGATTAAAGCACCTGCTTAGGCAGATGCAGGAGCTGGGAGTTCAATCCCAGGCCTGCTGTGTCAGCCCTGCCCCCGGGGTGCACTGAGACCACAATTGAGACTGGTGGCATATACCTGTAATCCCAGCACTTGGGAGGCTGTAAACAGATCACTGCAAGTCCAATCTAGTAGTGCGACCTTGAACACCCTGTACATACTTCCCTAAAATACAAAAAAGAAAGAAAGAAAGAAAGAAAGAAAGAAAGAAAAAAAGAAAGAAAGAAAGAAAGAAAGAAAGAAAGATAGATAGATAGATAGATAGATAGATTTGGGGGAAGTTCTAGATTCAAAGTTTTAATTGGGCATGGTGGCATACACTTATAATCCCAGCTACTCAGGAGACTGAGGAAGGATGGTCAAATATTTGAGCCCAGCCTAGGCAACTTAATGAGACCCTGTCTCAAAATAAAACTAATAAAATAAAAAACGGCTGGAGAGAGGAGAATGTAGCTCTGTGGTAGAGTGTCCTTGGGATCAACACTTGGTACTATAAAAAATTACATATAAAAATTTGCAACTTCCCTAATCATTTTTCTTGTTGCAGTAGAGTGTTTGTAGCCTGTGTGATCTATTTCTTCACACATAACTTAGAATAGTGTTATTTTCCCAGTTGCTTAAGGTATAGAAAATTTACCTTCACCTATATGCTCAGAATTGAAGTTTATCCAAAGATGTTCAATAGATACAAAAAATACTTATTCTACTCAAAAAGATCCAGAGGGGTTAGCATGCTGGACCACAGTTGTAAGTCATTAATTAGCCTGATAGTTTTGTTTTTATTTATGCTTATTGAGTAGAGGATACAAAGGATCAGAATGGTTTTGCCAGTGAGTGACTCACTTAATACCTCAGATATATTAAATCTTTCATGTGCATCTCATGAATATTTAATGTGTATTTGGTCCTTCTTTTCCTTCCTAATTATGTTTCTAGTTATATGCTCTGTTTAGTTCATTTATCTTTATCCTAACATGTGTCACAAATTACTTGCTTCTATAGTTTCATATATTTTTTCTACTTTCCAGAGCAGAATTGAATATTTGTGAATAATACAGAAAAGATACATTATAGCAAACAGCCACAAATAAGGAAGAAACAACTATTTGACCGCAGTCCCTGTGCTTTGTTAAGCTTGTTCTATGTAGGTGCTTTAGACCACTGAGCCATCTCACCAGCCCAGAAACAACTCTTAATATACTCCCTGGAAGCAGCCCAACATATACTTTGTTAAAAAAAAAAACAAGGTAAAGAGAACTGTACATGGTATGCTACCATTCATGTGAGATAAAAGTGTTTGTGTATTTGTGTTTGAAGTGTTTCTGTGGGACAGTGTACAAGAACTTAGTAATAGGAACTTTTTAAGTTTTGTAACATATGTATATAAACCCGTTGCAAAATTGTCTAAAAAATATAATTGCAAAATACCAAATCATTTTTTTTCTTTCTCTCTATTCAGGTATCACAATGGCAGGGCAACTAAAACTTCCAGAAAACACAGAAGACTGGACAAAAGAAGATGTAAATAGATGGTTAGAGAGTCATAAGATTGACAAAAAACACAGGGACATTTTAGTTGAGCAAGATGTGAGTGGAGCAACCTTGAGATGGTTAAATAAAAGCCATCTTGTTGAGATGGGCATAACACAAGGCCCTGCTATCCAAATAGTGGGTCTATTCAAAGAATTACAGGAAAAATCTTCTGAAAATCCTATTGAGACATCCAGCATGGAGAAAAGCAGTAAAAATGTTCCTAAAAAGCAAAAGGAAAACAGAAAGAATTCAAAACAAAGACAGATGGACAAAGAGATCTCAGATATAGCAAAAAAGTCTGAATCACCAAACAATGAGCTCATGGATAATCAACCAGATGATGTGAGACAACCAACATGTACCCCCTATCCTTTTAATACATTCAGCGATCCATATCGTTATAAATTACATTTCATTCTGCAGCCCGAAACAGGACCGCAAAATCTTATTGATCCAGCACATGAGTTCAAAGCCCTGACAAATACAGAAACAGGCACAGAGGAGGATACTAAGATGAAATTCAGCAATGAGACTTTCCGTTTTGCTTCAGCATGTATGAATTCACGTACCAATGGCACTATTCATTTTGGAGTTAAAGACAAACCCCATGGAGAAATTGTTGGCGTGAAAGTCACCAGTGTTACCAAAGAAGCCTTAATCAACCACTTCAACTGCATGATCCATGAGTACTTTGAAGCACATCAGGTCCAACAAGCAAAGAAATGCATCCGAGAGCCAAGGTTTGTAGAAGTTTTGTTGCCAAATAGTGCTGTATCTGACAGATTCGTTGTTGAGGTGGATGTTGTTCCCCAATACTCTGAATGTAAATATGACTATTTCCAAGTCAAAATGCAAAACTACAGCAACAAAACATGGCAACAAAGTTCAAAATTCTCACTCTTTGTGCGAGATGGGCCCAACACTAAGAACATCATAAAAAATCAAGTTGAGTTTAAAACTTTCCAATTAGATTTAAAAGCAGTGGCCACAGCTAGGAAAGAAGCAGAAGAAAAATGCAAACAAAAAGCAAAGAAAAACAATAGTGAGGGATCAAAGCTGGTTACCCTGTTGACAGGAAATCAAGATTTATTAGATAATTCATACTATGACTGGTACATTCTTGTGACAAACAAATGCCATCCAGATCAAACAATACACTTAGATTTCCTGAAGGAAATCAAATGGTTTGCTGTACTAGAGTTTGATTCTGAATCGAAAACAAAAGGAGTTCTCAAAGCTTTCAAAGAAAGCCGAGCAGCAAGCCTACACTCTCCAAGTCAATTTGTAGAAGAGAAAACCACAACAAATGAGAAGATTTCTAGTCTGAATCTTTACCAGAAACCCAGCTGGATTTTCTGCAATGGCAGGTCAGACCTTGAAAGTGAAAAATATGAACCCTTAGATCCAGTTTCCTGGCAGAAAGAAAGAGCTTCTGAAGTCAGGAAACTAATTTCATTTCTTACACATGAAGACATAATGCCAAGAGGGAAGTTTTTGGTGGTATTTTTATTGCTGTCCTCTGTGGATGATCCCAGGGACCCTCTCATTGAGACTTTCTGCGCCTTCTACCAAGATCTCAAAGGGATGGAAAATATGTTGTGTATTTGTGTACAATCGAACATATGTCAGGGATGGAGAGACTTACTTGAGGCACGATTAACAAATAAACAAGATGAACTATCAGAAAAGTGTATTTCTGCTTTAAATCTTGAACAGATAAATGGAACTATCCTTAAGCTAAAATCTGTAACTCAGTCTTCAGAGAGACTTTTGCCATCTATTTCTTCGTCTACTGTCCTTCTGAAAAAGGAAGAAGATATGACTGCTCTGGAAATTCTCTGTGTGAATGAATGTGAAGGTACACTATTACACAAAGACAAAAATAAATTACTGGAGTTCAAGGCATCAAAAGAGGAAGACTTCTATCGAGGTGGCAAAGTATCATGGTGGAACTTCTACTTTTCTGAATACTATTCTTCACCTTTTGTCAAAAGAGACAAATATGAGAAACTGGAGGAAATGATTCAAAGCTCTGCAGAATCATCTAAACCAACATGTGCCAAAATTATTCATTTGTATCATCATCCAGGCTGTGGGGGGACCACGCTGGCCATGCACATTCTCTGGGAACTAAGGAAGAAATTCAGATGTGCTGTACTGAAAAACAAGACGTTGGATTTTTTTGAAATCGGAGAGCAGGTGGTTGATTTAATCACTTATGGGGCAACAACAAACCACCAAGAATACTTACCTGTACTGCTCCTTGTTGACGATTTTGAAGAACAAGATAATGTCTACCTTCTGCAGAGTGCCATCCATAAGGCTGTAGCTCAAAAATACATTCGATACGAAAAACCTCTAGTGATCATCCTAAATTGCACAAGATCACAAAATCCTGAAAAAAGTGCAAAGATCCCAGATAGTATTGCCCTAAAACAAAAATTGTCTCTCAAAGAACAGACAGCTTTTGAGCTTAAATTGAAAGAAATTAAAACACAGCATAAAAACTTTGAAGATTTTTATTCCTTTATGATCATGAAAACAAATTTTAACAAAGAGTACATTGAAAAGGTGGTCAGGAACATTCTGAAAGGGCAGAATAAGTCCACCAAGGAAGCAAAGCTCTTTTCTTTTCTGGCTCTTCTTAATTCCTATGTGCCTGGTACCACCATTTCCCTGTCACAGTGTGAGAAGTACTTAGGAATTGCAAACAAGAAAGCCTTCTGGGGAACAGAAAAGCTTGAAGACAAGATGGGCACCTACTCCACAATTCTAATAAAAACAGAGGTGGTAGAATGTGGAACCTACTGTGGAGTGCGCATCACTCACCCTCTGATTGCAATGCTCTCTCTGGAAGAACTGAAAAAAAGCTATGACTTAGACAAAAGTCAAATTATGCTGGATATGCTAATGGAAAATTTGTTCTATGATACTGGCTTAGGAAGAAGCAAATTTTTCCAAGATATGGAGACACTACTGCTCACAAGACAGCGGAATGAACATGAAGGTGAAACAGGAACCTGGTTTTCCCCACTCATTGAAGCACTACATAAAGATGAAGGAAATGAGGCAGTTAAAGATGTGTTATGCCAAGGTATTGAGAGGTTCAAACCAAATGCATTCATTTGCCAAGCCTTGGCAAGACATTTCTACATTAGAGAGAAAGACTTTAGCAATGCACTTTGTTGGGCAAAAGAAGCAAAAAAGATAGAACCTGACAATTCTTATATCTCAGACACACTAGGTCAAGTATACAAAAGTAAAATACGATGGTGGATAGAAGATACTGAAAGAAGCAGGGGCATTTCAGTTGATGACTTAACCAATCTTTTGGATTTAGCAGAGCATGCCTCAGATGCATTCAAAGAATGTCAACGACAAAGTGAAGATAGACAGTATGAAGTGAAGGAAAGAATGGGTCAGAAGTCCAAAAGAAAGTATGACACTTACAACATATCTGGCTACCAAGGGGAGATAGAAGTGGGGCTCTACGCAATCCAGATTCTCCAGATGATTCCTTTTTTTGATAAACAAAACGAACTATCTAGAAGAGCTATGATCAACTTTATATCAGGAAGTAGTGATATTCCAGGCGATATAAATGAATTTAAGACGGCCCTCATGAATTTTATTCCTTATCTTACTACTTTGCAATCTTCTTTAAAAAACTGCTTTGATTTTTTTGATGATTATTTTGTCCTTCTAAAACCCAGGAACAACATTAAGCAAAATGAAGAGGCCAAAACTCGAAAAAAGGTTGCTGCATATTTTAAAAAATATATAGATATATTTGGTCTCTCAGAAGAATCACAAAACAGAGATCCTTACTCAAAGCTCAGTTTGTCACTTCAAGTAGAAAGGAATCGGAAAAGCCTAGAAGCTTTAAAAGCAGACAAGTTTTCTGGGCTTTTAGAATATCTCATCAAAAGTCAAGAAAATGTGGCAAGCGACATGGAAAACATAGTGAACACATACATTTTTCTCTTTGAACAAAGCTTTGTTAGAATGCAGCTAAGGGAAAAGGAAAATTTCATCTTGGCCAATATCATTCTCTCATGTATTAAGCCTACCTCCAAATTAGTGAAGCCAATTAAAAAACTGAAAGAACAGCTTCGAGACATCTTACAACAAGTAGGACTGAACTACAGATTTTCAGAACCTTATTTCCTAGCTTCACTCTTATTCTGGCCAGAAAACCAACAACTAGATCAAGATTCTAAACAAATGGAAAAATATGCTCAATCACTGGAAAAGGCTTTCAAGGGGCAATATAAACACATGCATCGAACAAAGCAACCAATTGCATATTTCTTTCTTGGAAAAGGTACCAATATGAACAGACTTGTCCACAAAGGAAAAATTGATCAATGCTTTGGAAAGATGCCTGATATTAACTCCGTGTGGCAAAGTGAAGAAGTATGGAAGGAGAAAAATGTCCAAGAACTTTTGCTTCGCTTACAGGGGCGAGCTGAAAACAATAATTTATTCATAGAGTATGGAATCACTGAAAAAATCGTAATTCCCATCACACCTGCTTTCTTAGGCCAACTTAGAAGTGGCAGAAGCATAGAAAAGGTGTCTTTTTATCTGGGATTTTCCATTGGAGGTCCTCTTGCTTATGACATTGAAATTGTGTAAGAGCCTGGTCTTCCTCCAGGACTGTGCTTTCAGTACCACTTGCTTTTGCTTTTCTTTTTGTGTTTAAATCAAAAACACACATTTTAAAATGAAAATTTTGGGCTGGGGAGATGGCTCAGGGGAATAAGCGCTTCCCTGGCAAGCGCAAGGGCCTGAGTTCAAGCCCCGGTTCCGGAAATAAATAAATAAATAAATAAAATGAAAATTTTACAGAAAACAGGCCCTGGATTTTCAACCCTGTACAAACTGAACTGCATTTTCTCTTACACTACCCATGTTATGAGTCCTGCATAGACAATGGTAGATAATAAAGGAATGGAAAATGTGTGGTGGTAGCAAATCTCTTCCTTGGTTTGGGTAATACCACATGGGACAAGATAATAAGCAGCTATGGATGGAATTAGGAGAGACAAACAAGTAAGTCACCCACAGAGAACCCTACTACTCCCCTATTTCCCTTGCATAACAGTCAATCCTAATATGTCAGCTTCATTGGATTAAAAAAGGATGCGTGTCCCACCACCACAGCAGATTGGTAGAGCATACTTTGGAGTGTCTGGGTGGGTCACAGAGCATTACCTTGAATACTCGAGATGGTCCTTGCCTGCTGTTCTCTGGTGTTGTTCCTCTCCTCTGCTCCGTGACCACTACCAATGAAGCAGCGTTGTTCTGTCACATTCTCTACTCTGATGTTCTGGCTTTGCAGCCAACTGGCAGTGGATTAAATCTTCCCAATCTGAGTTACATTAAAACATTGCTCCTTTAAGTAGTATCAATACTGTGTTCAGCAATTGGAAAGCTGACAAATACACATCCCAAGGAACGGATTGAGGACAATTCTCTACATTCTCATCAAATGCAAAACTCTTTCAGAATAGGAAAAAAAAAATTTTGGTTTTAGGACATTAGACTATCTAGGGAAACCTTTCTTACAAAAAAAAATCTCACACCAAATGGAAGCATGTATTCTGACCAAGTAGATTATAATATATCCTGTGCTTGACACTCAAGGGTCTTCCAAAATAGCGAGCCAGGAAATTCTCCAAAGTTACACCTGCAGCAGTCAACTGACATTACCAACTTGGGCTGAGAAGTAGATTTCCACTTCATGCAGTAGGAGGCACTCAGCAAGTGTGAAATATGTCTAAAGCTAGTGAGCTTATAAACCCCCATTGAAGCAAACAGAAAAATGTATCTGGACTCCAAGTGAAAATAAACAGAAAGTCTCTTGGGAAGAGATTAATGAGGATCCAAACATGCTGGCAGATCTTGTTTAGTCTGATGTGTCCTCACATAGGCAGAAGGACAAAAAGGATGAACATTTCTATCATCCCTCTCTCATAAAGTGGAAAGACAGGCCCGCTGCTGCTACTTGCTGCCCACTCTGCCTCAGACCTTTTCTCTGCTCCAATGCCACCCTACCACGTCTCCCTGCCTTGGAGCCAGCTGACTAGGGACCAAAGCCTCCACAGACCTTCAGGTGAAATAAACCTTTCCTCATTTAACTTGTGACTATCAGGAGTTTTGTTCCAGCAAAGAAAAAGTAACTAAGACATTAGCCATCCACCCAAATGGGCTATTTACTTCATTGTTTTCTTGTATTTCATATAGCAGTATATTCTGCAATCTGAAGCAGGACTTGAGAATTTCACGTTTGTGAACAAATCCACGTGCAGGATAAACAATAAAATGGGCAGAAATGTAACAGTGATGTTCTTTAACTTACTTAAGCTTCATTATCTACTGCACAAACAGTCCAAGTAACTTCAAATATGAATAAATCCTCTTAAAGTTTTCGTCCTCCTGAAAGCAAATTTTGACACTTGTAACTCATGCAGCAGGTCTCCAAATCCTTATAAGGTATATTGTCCATTCTATAGAGCACATTTCTTATCAAGCCACACTGATCATGCCACATTTATCTGACTTAATTAGAACAGTTTCAGTGATACAGGGGATCAAAGTGAGGATTCATAGGATGTCTGGATCTAGGCAGGTGATTCATGACTAAGAACTAGAGATTTCATATAGCTCTGGGACAGAATTATAAAAGTACATCACAGTCCATTTCTGATTCTTTCTTCTGATGCCATGGCTGGGATAAAAACATTGGTTAAGTCAATGGTCTCATACCTTCTACCTGTAGAAGCTCTGTCTTGGTGGATAAATTATAAATTATAAATTATAAATTATATGGTGGCACACACATATAATCCCAACTAGGAGGCCAACACAGGACGTTCCCAAGTTTGGAGGTAACCTGGGATACTTAGCAAGATCCTGTCTCAAAATAAATAAAAAGAGTTAAAGGTACAGTATCTCAGTACCTTGCTCAGCACACACAAGGCTCTTAGTTCAACCCCTCATGCTGCAAAAAAAGAGGAAAAGGAAAAGAAAAGAAAAATAACATACATATTTGGGAATTTGGAAAAGAAATTTATAAAGAGGAAATCACAAAGAAAACTTTTTTATAGCTAAGTAAAAATTAAAATACCACATTTCAAAACTTGTGAGAGCCAGCAATGCTCAAACCATTTTACAAAGAATTTCAAACATCTACCATAAAAGTGATTAATAAGGAACTTCAAAGATGCTTCAAAAGGGAGAAATAGTGAAATGTCTGATAATGCAATAGGAAATATTAAGAAAAACATAGTAGCAGTTTTAGAACTCAAAATAATGATTGAAACAGAAAACAGTGGATGGACTCAAGAGCAGAATTAGGTAGACAGCTGAAAAACTAATGAACTGAAGAAAGGATAATGACAGTCTTAATAACAAAGTGAAAATACACTTTAAAAAGGATACAGAGATGCAGGGACCTGTGAGACCATGACCCTTCCAAAATTGTGTGTGTGTGTGTGTGTGTGTGTGTGTGTGTGTGTGTTTACACATTTGCTGAGAATCTAAAGATAAGAAAATGTAGAAGTGAAAAGATATGGAGCAAATAAATTTGAGAAAAAAAGCATAAAATTACAGATTCAAAAATTTAAGCATACAAACTCAACTTAAACCACACAAAGATATACAATATTCAAAGATAAGAGTAGAAATCATTGAAATTAAAATAAAAATCACAGTAGAGGAAAGCAATCTTTTAAAATCCAATTATTAGAAAAGATTAATGAAATTGATAAACATCTACTAAGACTGCCAGATAGAGAGAGAGAGAGATAGGAAGAGTGACAGACAGACAGCTAAACAGACAGACAGACAGACAGACAGACAGACAGACAGACAGAGAATAGATTACCAATGTCATAAATGAAACAGGGATGTCATTATAGACTCTGAAGACATAAAAAATAAAACATTTTAATAACTCTACACATGAATGTGACAACACAGATGAAGGTGAGAAATGCTTAGAAAATCCCATGTTACTATATCTCATCCAACATAAAATAGATCATTTAAATTGTTCTACTACCCATAAAGAAATTGAATTTGCAATTATAAAACTCCATAAAATTAAATCTTCATGTCCAATTTGTTTCACTGAAGTACTCTATCATACCAAAGAACAGAAAGAGTTCATACCAATTCTTCATACAATCTTTTCCAGAAAATAGAAGAAGTAACACTTTCAGTTTATTTCAGAAACCTAGAATTATCCTGATGCCAAAACCAGCCAAAGATGGTATTCTCTCAAAGTGAGGATCAGTATGCCTAAGAACATACCCACAAATATCCATAACAAAATTCAGGAATATATGAAATAATATGCCCTAAACAAGTAAAGTTTATACATGGATTCAAGGCAGTAATCCCAGCACTTGGGAGGCTGCAAACAGGAGGATCACTACAAGTCTGATCTGTAATCCCATATTAACAGATAAAATATCACAAAAAATGCGGAAGAAAAAGAGACTTGCTCAATATAACAAAGACAGCTCCACAGCTCTACTTTCAACATCCCACTTGGCGGAAAAGAATGGAATGGTTTCCCTAAGACAATTCACAAGGCAAATGCTCTTTTCACTCATTTACCTGGAAACTGAAGCTGTGAAACAAAGCAAGAAAATGAAGAGCTGGCCAGAAGCTCAGCAGACTAAATCGAATGCTTAGGCAGGTGCAGGGACGGGCATCAGTCCCTGCCTTGCTGTGCCGGCCCCACCCCCAGGGCTTGCTGAGATGGCGATTAAGACTAGGCATGGTGGTGTATGCCTGTAATCCCAGCGCTTGGGAGGCTGCAAGCAGGAGGATCACTATGAATCCAATCTAGTAGTGAGACCCTGAACACATCCTGTAGACCCTTCCCTAAAAAAATAAAAAAGTGAGTGTGATAAACTCAGAAGACACAGATTAAATATACAAAAACCAGCTGTCTTTGTATAAACAAACAGTGAAAGAAAGTATCAATACCATTTATAACCATTCAAAAAAAGTGAAATACTTAAGCATAAATCAAGTAAAACTTGCACAGAACTCATCTACAAACTATGAAATGGTGAAGAAAGAAATCCAAGATCTAAATGAAGGAACAGACAGTATTAGTGGATTAAAAGACTCAATAGACCAATAACAAGCAATAAAATTGATGCAGTGATAGAAACTACAAAGAAAGGCCCAAGAGCCAATCAACTTACCAGTGAACTTTACCAGACCTTTAGAGAAGACTTAATGTCAATGCTCCTCAAACTTTTCCCTATAATTGAAAGAGAAGGAATGTCTCCAAATTTATTCTATGAAGCTAGAAGTACTCTGATATCAAAACCTGTAAAGGATTCAACCAAAAAGAAAAAGTACAAGCCAAAACCCTTGATGAACTTAGATACAAAAGTCCTGAATAAGCTGCTTACAAACAGAATTCAAAAGTTCATTTAAAAAGATCACACCAGGGCTTGCCAAATAGCTCAGTAGATTAAAGTGCCTGAAAGAAGGTGCAGGGGCTGGGGGTTCAATCCCCAGGCCTGTCCTGCCGGCCCCAACCCTGGGGCATGCTGAGACAGCAATTGAGACTGGGTGTAGTGGCGCACACCTGTAATCCCAGCTCTTGGGAGGCTGTAAATAGGAGGATCAGTATGAGTCCAATCTAGTAGTGAGATCCTGAACACCTTGTAGATCTTTCCATATATATATATATATATATATA